GATTCGCAGATGTTGGGCCGAAATTGTATACCAGCTCGCGCAGCGTTCGGACTATTTGCACGACTTGTGTAACACGCTAATCCAGGAATCGTATACATGACGAATTATGTAATTTTTTAAGAAAGTATTGGCGAATAATTATTGATGATACATCTGATGACGATCAACTACCAGAGTCCTGGCTTTGGAAAGAAATAAGAAATAGTCCAAAAATCTGGGACTATATGATGATTCCTGGCATAAGAGAGAAGCCTTATGCCAATTAGGAGGAGTAAGGGAGAATTTGATATATTTAATCTAATATTTGATGATATATTTTGGAACATATAATGTAACCGAAACGAATCAGTATGCAGATCAAGTACGAGAAAATCCACTTAGAACAAGAGTGTAAAAAGTGTAAAGTTCCGTTACATGTACCAGAATGCTTTGAAATATATCATACCATTACAGATTACTAATTTTGTATTTTGGAGTTTTGTATAAATAAACATTTTGTAATACTTGTGTATACCACAATTATTGCATCAGACTTTAACTGCGTATCAAATATTCCACGTAATATTCACTTCTGGTCAACAAGTAAATTTAAGTCCCTAAACTCAAATTAAAATTAAACAACTTCAACCAAACCTTTTAAAGTTTAAAAAAATAAAGTCTAAACTTACAACCAACTTTAAACAACTAAAGCAAACATTAAAAGCTTCAATTACTGATCAAACAGAATTAAGTAAGAAAAAACTTAAAGCTTGAAAAATAAATAACAATTAATACATAACATGATAGTTCAGCAGCAGCACGGGGATTTGCAGTATGAGTTGTACTGCTATCAGACGGCCATATGTGCCATATGAAATATTTCAAGAACGTTTGCGCTAGCCAGGCTATTTTGTGTTCTTTCTGCTCTCATCTATTTACATATAAATTTTAAATTTCTGAGTGTGATTTTTATATACCATTTTAGATTTCCATCATTTTGTAGTAATACCTATTTTAACATAAATATTGTTTTCTTAGGAGTACTTTTAAAACAAGTAATATATATAATATAATATAAAAAAAAAAAAAAAAAAAAAAAAAAAAAAAAAAAAAATTAAAGTCAATTTCTACTTAGGTCAACCAAGAAAAATCTTATTAAAAAAAATTTAAATAAATGTGAAAAATATGTGAAAAAACTCTATTAACATCAGGTGTCATCCACTACGAGTTTAAAAAAATGTATTTGAACTTGAGTGGATGAATAAAAAGTATTTTATTAACGATTGAAAATTTGAACAAGATATATAGAGAGTGTGAGTTAATAGTAGAAATTTAAAAATTGTCTAATTTTCTATTGGTTCAAATGTTGACAACAATGCATATTTATAATTGATCAGAACATTTAATTGAAGTTAAACAGTGAGTTTTCTTATGTAAAATTGTGTGGTTATAATAAAATTCCACCTTGATGTAAAATAATAAAAGATTTGTTTTAATATTCTAATTTAACTATTTAACCAACTAATAATGATATTTTTCAAACTTTAAAAGCTTTTCCCTCCTTACATTAACTCCCCTAGATAACATCAGCATAATTTGTTTGTACCAAACAGTTCAATAAATTTACTAATTATGAACTTAATGTTTGCATTAGCATCAGAACTTTTATTTTTAATAGTTACAAAACTTTTAGCAGTGCAGTTTCCAGATTTTAAGTTATTTTTATATGATAATGATTCAAATGGTTATTAAGTTCTTTAAAAACAAATAGTATATTGCTTTTATTTTTTAGCCCAGAAGGGCTGCTAGTATCGAAATAGCATTTTGCGTTCATTCACTTTTCAGATTGTTGCCACCAAGCATTATTAACCTGTATTACATTTAACCGTTTGACTGCTACGCGGCGCAAAAGCACTGCATCCATTTGTCTTGAAAACCTCGACAAGCGCTGCAAGTTTCAATGTGTCTTTGTTGCTCCATGGGTGTGAACGTATGTAGTGCGACCTCGCGCATACTTTGTAACACGAGTGCATTCTAAAATAACTAACTGCGTTGCGGTTTTCGAGACAGATGAATTGCAGCACTTTTGCGCCAAGTAGCAGTCAAACGGTAAAGAAATTAAATAATGAAGAATCTACATGAATGTATGTATGTTTCTTGAATTGCCAAAAAAATAATGGCACCTAGAGCCATCAGATTTTGAATAACATAGTCCTCCAAACATGGGCACCTGGAACACCGAATTCGGAATTTTGTATTTGTTTTATTGTCTATTTCATATTTTGTAAAACTTTAACGAATTAATGATTGAAAACTCAACAATTTCAAAGCAAGCTGTGGGAACACTGTAGGGAATAAAAAATTTTTATCACCAGCGCATGAGACTGTCTATTGGAAATTCTAAAGATATGCTATTTTTAAAGTAGTTAATTAAAATTAAATAATTTGTGTACTTATTAAATAAGTAAATTATTATGTACAATGTGGCATGAACCCTAATGTTCTTGAAATATGTGTGTGTCTGTAAATGAAAAAAAAATCCTGCTTGGGTGTAATTAGAAAGCTTTCAGATATATTTTTTTAAATTTCTAATTTCAAGGAATATATTTGTTAATGCTTTTTATCTGAATAAGCTTCAGACTTTAAGAAAATGCTTAAAATGAAAATTTTTTAAACTTCAATTGTCTTAATACTGTGCATGTCATTTGCTAAATTTGTGCATTTCATCACTATTATGAAAATTAATTAAATCATAAATAAAAAAAGTACTCTTTTGTTTTGAGTGGACAAAGAAAAGAAGGCCCTAAAATTTTTTCATTTCTTTTATTTATTTTGATCCGTTTGCTACAAAGTCATTCATATGTGTTGTTTTCCTGTGTTATTAAACTTATTATTTTAAATTAAACATAAAAGTAGTCAAAATTATAGCTGAAAATAATTAAAAGTTTTTTCAGTTTTTGTTTAAAGCAGTGATACTATAATTTGCAAAGAGCAAAAACCATAATAGAAATCTTTGAAAATCAAATTCTTAAATACACATATTAAAATTTTAACAATAATGCTGTTATTTAATTTTAAATCTGTATCTGATTGTAAACTTTATTTTCAAATGAGGTTTACCTATTATAATAAATCCAGAAAGTGCATGGCAGCATTCTAAATGACAAACAACCAGCAACATGTTGATGTTAGTTTCAAAACAAATTTAAAGGGAAATGTTTCTTCCTTAATGGTAAATTATTTGTGTACATACAATACAGCAGATATCATAAGGTAATATGTAATACTTAGTATTATTTGTTGGAAGGGAAAAATTCTTATTAGATAAAATTTTTCTATAAAAATGATTATAATAGACTGTTTTTAATTTCTTTCTGTTGTTAGTTTAGACCTTATTTATATTAGAATTAATGCTGATATTATATTGAATACATTTTTATCTTATTTCATTTAGTTTATGTGGAATGCTATGTTTGAAATCTGACTATACATTTATAGTTAATTAATCAATAATCCAAATACTTAACTTTAATAACATTAATGCTCTGAATTATACAAGGAGGATGCATAGACATATTTTTAGTATATAAAAAATATTTTGTTGTTTCTAATGCACATTTGTCCGACCTATAAGTTAGCCCAAGCCCACGAAATTTCTCATGGCATGGAATGCAAGTTTACGCTTGTCATTGGCAACTGTCTTGAGCACTATTCAGGTGACAGTGCAATTTAACTCATTTCTGCCCCCCATTTTTGATGGAGAGCACCCGGGGTAGGTTGGTGCAAGAGTCTGCAACCTCTCTTCCTCTACCACCAACCTCTCAAGAGGACTTTCGGCTCACTACATATTTAGAGTGTCCCCATGCCACACTTACAAACATCTATGCCTTCTATGGGATTTGAACCGGGCCTTTTGGCATGGCAGTCAGTGACGCTAACCACTATACCGTTTGGGCGGCTGATAAAATAATATAAAAATGCGATATAAAAAAGTAACAGATGCCAGATTATACAAGGTTTATGAATAAAAAATGATACTTTTATTTACATTTAAATTATAAATACACTCAATCATTTTTGAAATTCCCTAGGGAAGCCACACATCATGTATATGTTGTTTTCATTTTTCATGTCAGTGCTAGAACTCTGAAATTTAAATGGCCTTCAGCTGGTTGATCACAGCACTTTAACGTTTCCTGCGATTCCAAAAGGGTGTTCAGTCTAGGGAATAGGAAATAGTCACAAGGACTGACAAATATGAGAGCTAAGGACCAACAGGAATGCCTTTACAAGCCATAAATGTCATTAAGGAAAGTGCAATATGAAAAAAGGTATATTAGTATTGCAAAGCATCCAAGTTTCTTTATGAATTGTATTATCATGTGGTTTAAAATTTAGTTCGTCTGTGATTAATTTCACAATTATTGTACAAGATCTGGTTTTGTTCTCATTTTCATTAGTTCTTTTTATTGAAGTTTTCTTTTTAAGTAAGAATCATTTTCAGTTGATTTTCAGTTTTCTGAAAAGGCTTTAAAACTTCATGAAAAACCGTGCACAAAGCAAAATTTCCACAAGCCATAAAAAAGTTATGGTTATATTGTGTATAATTTGAGATAATGCGATTGCTCAAAATTTGGATCACCATGTTTTTGTGTCCAAAAATAAATAAACAAATATATTAAATTAAAAAAGTGCAGTATATTTGAACTATACAGAATTGTCACTTTAACTGAAACTATATAAGAAGCTGGCCTTTTCTCTCTGTCAAGGGCAATTGATCTCGCATATCACGTAGAGTGCTATGTGATCAGTCACATTACTTTACTTAACAGACCTAATTATATGTTGCTTTTGAGACAGTTAATTGTTTATATTATTAAAATATAGAATGATTATAGTCCTACCTTTTTATTTTTTAAGTCCATGTTGAAATTCAAATAAACAGTCATGTTCATAAATGCTGTAAACATAATTTGTTGCATTACAATTAATATAAAATCACAATTTTTTTTCTGTTTCAGAGAATGAATTAGTGACTGGATGTGGGACCACAAATTTATCACAACATCTTTTTTTCAGAGATTTAAATATAGAGTTATAAAATAAATTATTCTGTTAATTATGTGTTATATAACTAATTACTTTTATTAAAAAAATACCAAACTCAGTTGTTACTGCTAACTGAAACTCAGGATTTTAGACATTTTGTAAAGTTAATACTCTCTAAGTATTGGAAAATATATTTTGATGAATAAAAGATCTGTAATACATATTGATCATGATCATTACACAGAATATGATAGATAATACTTTTAAGATTACAGTGAGACTGTTCATGGTTATCACCTCTAAATGTGAATGATGTTTTTTAGAACATATATGAACACTGTTATTAAACATAATTTCTCTAACCTAATCACTTCCGTAAAAGACATACAACTTTTTTAAATGTAATGTGTAGTCTTAGAAAAATTTAATTTTATGCTATACTTTTTTAGTTAACACCAGTTATTATTTGTAAGATCATTTAGAATTAATTTTATAGTCAGTTTAAAATATTCTATCCAAATGTGTATAGTCCACATGCAATAAAAATCTCATGTAACTGGCTGTATAAAATGGTCTTTCAAAGCAAATCACAAAAAAGGACAGCTATAAGATAGAAAACTATGCAATGAGCTTAGAGTCTGGTAACATTGTGATACAGATTGAACAAACAACTTTTGAATTATCCATAATATAAAACTCGTAATGGCTTATAAGCTTAGAGAGGTTATTTTGTATATTGCACAGTTAGAATTTGCACTTACGAATTATATTTTTATATATGCATAGACGTTTATCTTTTTTTAGCTAAGGATGGTTTTGCTCAATGATCAAATTAAAATTTGGTCTGCCTGAGAGAAGGATCAGCAGAAAGAAATTAATCGAGGAATATAAAAATGTAATTTTATGTGACAAAATAAAGCAGTCAACTGTAGATATATGAAGCAAAAAAAAAAAAAAAAAAAAAAAAAAAATATATATATATATATATATATATATATATATATATATATATATAAGAGCTGCAGAAAATTATATATACTACCTATACCTGCCAACTTTTACGAATTTTTCGTAATTTTTACGAAAATGCGTTTGTCTTTACGATTTTACGATCGTAATCCATTTTTTACGATTTTTTTTCCTTTTTCAAGTGTTTTTAGTGATTTTTGTCGAAATTTTAGAATTTTTCGCCAATTCAGCGATTTTCGCCAATTGCATCGTGTTTTACCGCCAACTACCGACTACTTCGAATCCAGTAACCTGCGGTTTCTCCCAACTCGCCGCTTAACCAGCCAATCCAATGCGCTGAACTTGTTTCTCCCACTCTTTTCTTTGTGGGCGCCAGATTATTTTTTTCGCGTTCGCTTCAGCAGCAAGGGAATTACTCAGCGAGCGTGGATTGTCGCATTCTGTTTTTTTTTTTTTTTTTTTTTTTTTTTTTTTTTTTTTTTGTTGTTTGTTTGCACGTGCTACGAATTTTCTTAATACGTCGTTGTTACGAAATGTCACTAATTTCAAATGAGTTAAAAAAAATGTATTCTCAATATTTTCGGCCTGCCTACAAAGCCGAATTTAGAACAATTAAAGAATCCTTGAACGGAAATAACTATGCATTTTGCAACGTGTGCGTGTGTGACTTCATAATAAGTCACAGTGGAAAAAGCGACATTGTGAAGCATGTTAAGTCTAAAAATCATGAAGTTAATGCTTCGACAACGTCAAAGAAAGTGGATTTTTTTTTTTCAAATTCGTCTACGAATTCGGATGCCGATGTCATTTTGGCAGAGCGTTTGTTTACTGGATTCCTCATCGAACACAACGTGCCGCTAAGCGCTGCCGATCACGCCGGTCAACTTTTCAGACGGATGTTTCCCGACTCCAAGATTGCTCAGAAATATGCTTGTGCTCGCACGAAAACATCTTCTATTGTGAACGAAATTGCTTGCGATGCACAAAGTAAAACGATAGCTGCACTCCAGAATTCAGCATTTTCGGTGTCAATCGATGGCAGCAACGACAGCGATTGGAAGCTTTACCCCATCGTTGTCACATATTTCTGTGATGTTTCTAATGAAATGAAAACTCATCTTTTGCATCTTCCATTGTTAAATGGAGATGCTACGGGGGAAAATATTGCCTCCTTGGTAATTAATGAGTTGAAACAACTTAACATCCCAATATCAAACTGCATTTCATTTGGTGCAGATAATGCTCATGTCATGGTGGGGGTGACAAAAAGGGTGTAGCCTCTTTCCTCAAAAAAGAACAAAATGAATTAATTGTTATTGGATGCCCATGCCACTTAATTAATTTGGCAGCAGAAAAAGCTGCAGCTGCTTTACCATTAAATATTGACCAGCTTCTGATTGATGTGTTTTTCTATCTGGAAAAAAGTGTAAAAAGGAAAGAAAACCTAAAGAATTTCCAAGAACTGTGCTCTGGTGAAACGAGAAAAATTCTGAAACATGTATGCACGAGATGGTTATCCTTAGGCAGAGCGCTAGGAAGGTTTATTGAACAGTGGGATGCATTGCTAAAATATTTCCACGAAGAGACCAAAACGAAACCACAGATCCCATCAAATTTGTCGGCATATAAGATTCCGAAAACCAACTTTGCTTCTAATCAAAATGCTTTAAAAGGGAAAAGCCAACACACAGAATCAAACCCTTTAAAAAGAAAATGCTTAGAAGACTCCTCAAAGGTCAACTTTGTTAAAGAAGTTGAAGGGAAGAAGAAACAGTCTTCTATTAGCCGGGAGGAAAGGATTTTCTATCTTCTTTCTTCGGATTTGAACAAAGCATATTGTAGTTTTGTGTTAAGTACCATTAAGATTTTTGAAAGTGTAAATACCCTTCTACAATCAGCTTCGCCAAAATCTCCCCTGCTTATCCAAATTCTTAATGATCTTTTGAAAGAACTTTATACTAAGTTTGTAAAAACCGTCCGTTGTGAAAAACAGTGTGTTGATTCGTGTTGCCTATAATAGTTTGGCAAATCAAAAGGATGACAATGATCTTATAATTGGAAATCAAACCAGGGAACTTGTAAATTCTTTGAAAGATCATGAGAAAAAAGAATTTTTTCAATGTGTTAGAAAGTACTTTTCCTCAGCCTGTGATTACATTGTAAGGAAGTTTCCTTTGCAAAATGAAGTTCTTTTAAATGCTGAAGCGGCAAATTTGAAAAAAATTGAAAATTCATCTTTTGAAAAGATTCGTTTTTTTATTGATAAATTTCCATTTTTGTTAACAATTAAAGAAAATGAATGCCATAATGATGCTTTAGATGAACTACAGAACCAATTTTCTGCTGCACAATTTGAAGACTTTGCCAGTTCTGGAGAAGATAGACTTGATGTCCTCGTTGGTACCTTAAAAAGAATAAAAAGAGCTGATGGAACACCAAAATATGATAGACTAGCAAGAGTTTTATGTGCTATTCTCGTAATTCCACACAGTAATGCTGAGTGCGAGAGAGTCTTCAGTGTTGTGAAGAAAAACAAAACTATGTTTCGTTCTTCAATTTCACCAAAAACTCTAGAAAACATTTTAATTGCTAAATGTTATGAGGAAACTAATTGTTATGACAGGAAATTTTCCAAAGAATTTTTGGCCAAAGCCAAAAAATGCACTCTAAATTCATTGCAATAATTTTTTTGTGTAACATTAAGTTCTTGTTTTATGTTCCTAATAAATTTTTTAGTTACTACTTAATTGAGATTTACTAATGTAAGTACAATTTTCTTTTTTCTATTTGTATAAATTGTTATTTTTTTAATATCAAAGCATGATATTAATTCTTCATGTTCTGAATTTTGGAGAAATCTTCTGAATTTTTGTCTTTAGAGGTTGGCAGATATGACTAACCCCAATTAGATCCTATATTACATGAATGGTTTTTCTTGTAGAAGAAGTATGCATTTTTGAAAGGATATTGGGAGGGGGGAATATGCAAGATGAATGAAAATTTTGCATTTGGTAACATATTCATCAGTAGCCAAGTGGACAAGACTACTCAACATTGGCAATTTGAACTAGGTTCAAGTCTCAGCAAATCAGCATGCTGCATAATTATTTTCATGGTTTTTATACATGTAAATGGAAACAACTTCCCTTTGATAATCTCCTAAGCCTTTTTTAGATAGACAATAGTAGCCTTATAAGATTAAAGACGCAAACCGGCCATTGCGTGGCTTGTTATTAAAAGAAAAGTTTGCAATCTATAAATTAAATACATCTAGTAAACAGAGAAATGCTGATAAATTCTTTGTGAGCAAGTTTATTGAGTTTCAAGAAATTGAAGTGAAAATCGAATGTAGATACCATGTCCACTGAAATCTTTTATCTGTACAACATTGGTTGTAGTTACACCTTCATTTACAAAAATGTTTTAAATACTGCACGTTTTATAATTTTTAAATTAAAAAGAATCAATAAAAATTTAACTTTTTGTAAAATAATAAAAAAAATTTGATTCCCATATGACAAAAATTGAGCGAGATATTTAATTTCAAAATTTTGGACATTTGACATTTTTAATTTGCCTTAAAAAGGTCATTTAATAAATAAATTGGAATAATTTGAGATTCTTTTTCTTCCCTTAAGTATATTTTGCAAATTACTAGTGTATTAATTTATAATTTTATTACAGCACATATTTTGAAAAGGTTTTATCTGAAACACCAAAAATACATTAACATTCTCAAGTTTTATTATTTTAAAATCATAATTTATAACTATATAAAAATTCATTAATCTAGAAATGTTTTCATTTTTAATTTATACAAATAAGAATTTACTGTCAGTACACCGAAGACTATCAGTTTCTTCTAGAACATGAATTCTATAAGATTTTGTGATAATGGTCTCCTCTTTGAAAAAAATTTACCATGAAAAGTATTGATGAATATAGTCTGCATATGCTCATCACTTAATCTATTGATATCAAACATTTTTCTGAATACTTTTAGTTGCATACAAATGTAAACATTTCAGAGTTTATAACGAGTATAAAATTTTAAGTACATGGACTGGAGCAACAAATAAATTTTAGATTTTACAAAATTGATTTTTAAAATTTAAAAATACCAAATAAATACTTGCATCTTGCAAGGAAGCCCATGTCTAAAACCAAAAGTTGTGGGAAAAGGCTCGGTAAGACGTTGACACTGTGCGTGTTGAAGTTATTTTTATTTGAAAATCATCAAAGTGAAATTTTTTAGCATACGAAGTAAATAAGGTGTTCTTTAACATAGGAGATCATTCAATTTTGTACAACTTAAGTCAGAATTAAAGAAAGTGATATATAAGCTTTCAGTGAACTTGTTAAAATGATTGTTATTGATTATTTTAGCAAAATGCATTACAACAAACACAACTAAATTGGAATGTTTGTGGTCACTTATTATCCCAAAATCAAGATTAATCCAAAGCACTACTCTTGAAATGTACATACAGCATTGTAATAACATTCTGGATATTTTCATGTTTCTGTATTTTAATTATTAGTTATCAACTTTTGAAATGATAATCTTCAACTGAGTTTGAGCACTCTTTCTTGCCTTTCTGCTTGGCTTATTTCAGATTTTCTTCTTGTTCTTGAATTACAAAGTGCAGTCTTTTCAGATGATTTTTCTTTTCAAAAATTCTGCATTCATTTTATCATTACCTTGATTGAGTCTTGGCTAAATCAAGAATTTTGTAAATCTATAACATAGAATTTTCAGAGATATTAATTAGTAAAATAGCAAGTCTTCGAGAATTTACTGTATTTTTATCTTGGTGTCTACAAAATATTGTAAGTTAACTATTTCTCAAATGCCAGTGACACAATGTCAAGCTGTATTACTCCTGTAATCTCAAAAGTGAATTTTTAAAATGACTCATTACTTTTTCATATAATGTCTAAGTTTCAGACTGAAAGTTTTCAATTAAATACCTGAATTAGAAATTTATTTTATATATGAATACGAATTTAATTTTGCTATTTTTAGTGAAGAGAAAAATATTCTTACAAAAAAATTAGAATTAACAGATTTAATAAATGAAACAAACATTTGAAAATAATAAAAAATATTTTATTTCTATTTATTTACAATTATCAAGAAAAAGCAAAACTGCTCTTTGATAGCCCAGAAGACAATACTAAATCTTCATTATTATCATATGAATATGTTGAAGCTAAAACTGTTTGAATGATTCCCTGAACTTCCATCATTTCTTTCATGTACTGTACTTGATTTTCAACTGAATGTAAGAGATACTGGAATCGCTGCTTTACTTCAGGATCATTAAATTTGGGCCCATATATTTCTATGACAAATTTCAAAAATAAAAATTATGGTTTTACAGTCTTGATTATAAACATATAATTTGTATTTTTAACAATGGAAATAATTTTAATCATAATAGCAATTATAATTAACCAACAAATCATTTGTTTTTACAGACCAAAGAATAATTTGTTTTTGTTTTGTTATCTGCAATGAATATCTCTCATTCACACCTTTATAATAAGGGCACCTCTAGCTTTGTTTCATCTTCAATGCTTTCAAACCCAAATTTAAGGCAGTTGTACCACTAGTGTGCCTGATAATGATGCATCATCATATACTGTTAAAATACGAAATTTACTTAATTTGTAAAAAAAAAATGGTATGCAAATGATAAAATAACCAGTTTAACCCTAGAAAGCTAACTTTACTACAGAGAAACATGGATTAATTTGAAATTTTCCAAAAATATTTTACATCAAAAGATTAATAGAAAAATATAATATAAAAAGAAAATAATTATTTCAACTGCTTATTACAATTTTTACAACAATTTCCCCCGTGTTCACCGCACAGGGGAAATTGTTGTAATTTCATTTGCACATTTGGGCACATATTGCAGAACACAGTGGTCATTCACCATTAGAATAAGGGCAGAATACACAAATTTCCCTCTTATTTGACTTCTCTTCTACTCAATAATGTCTTGGATCATTCACATTAAGGAATCTGTATTTATCATCTCTTAGATAGCAGCTCAAAGTTGGAATCATTCGACACTTCTCAAACCAAGGTCTGATCAATGCAGCACTCGCATCTCTTGTGAATTTTCATCGGGATCAAATTATTTCTCTTTTCTGATAAACATGACAACAAATAATAGAAATTTATTAAAGCTGTATTTAAAATTACATAAAAAATAACAAAGGCTATCTTCATTTTTTCTCGGTTGCAAGGCATTTTGGTTAGACATCCAATCCAAAGTATCCACGCCACCTTTTGCAGAAGTCTACAATATCTGATTTTAGCATCAATCACATATTTACTGCCAACATCACAATTTTTACACCATATTTAGAGGGTTTATTTGATATGTACATGTGGAAAGGACAGTGGCCTCAGAAAGCAAGCAGCTGGTTCATCAATAGCTACAAATGATTCTGGATGATTCACTGATTCCGAAGTTCTCTAATCGGTACAAATTTACCTTTCCCCCCCTTATTTTCTCATTGACTTGCTACTGAAACGTAAGAATTCTAGATGGAAATCAAGTCTGTTGCAATTTTATTGTAGCTTTATATCTGGATCAGCAAAATGTAGAGTTGAAAAATATTGTCTGATGGCAAATGGCCACACACTCAGAAGTAGAACTCTGCACACTTTTTTGTTCCACACTCAGAAGTAGAATACATATCAGACCTTTTATTTCAAGAATGTTAGTTTCTGAAATAATAGATGAATTTTGTTTAGAATACTTCATATGTTTTTTTACATATCTCTGTGTTGGTGACTTTTGTAATGATTTTAAATATGCCATTAGTAATTATCAATAAAAAATATAACATTCTGCTTTATTTTTTGGATCTTTGGATCCTGTACTATATCTACAATATTTCTATCAGCAGTATGTGTAATGTGACATCTTTGAAATAGTTAACCATCTGTGCTAATTTTGATCTATAAAATTCTAATTTTTTTGAACTTATGATAAAAGAACTTTTGTATAAAATTTGGGAAAAAATTTCCTTGTCTTTCCAGTACTAATAGAAGTACTTGGTTTTTCTGTTTCATCTTTTGAATTTCGCTCTGGAATTCTCATGGAGAGTTTGGATACTTTAGTTGGAGGTACTGAAACCTTAGCATCTGATACAAAAAACACTTCTTTTTTCTTAATTATTTATTTTTATTAAACATTTATTTCTTATTAATTCTACATCTTCTTCATTATCTGTAATTTATAGACTTTCTTTTCAATGTAATCAGAATAGCTTTCATTCTCTGCGCAAACATCGGCTTCATCCTCTTCATTGAAACAAAATAAAAATTTATATAAAAATTTCAGGTGTATCATATAAAGCATTTGCCCTTTTAGCCATTGTGGCAATTAATGTGAAAAATTACAGCCAATATATAAGCTTACTCAGTAAACAGGCAAATTAAAAAAAGATCATTGAGATAAATTTCAAAATTATAAATTACGTAGAAGCTAATCACCCATAAATATTATGAATACATCTCGTATTATAACTGAATAATATAAGCAAGCAAGCAAGCAATCAAAGTAGCACCGAAAGCAGGTGTTTCACAGTCAAATAAGGTTACACAAAAGGATGAACCATTTATTCAAAGGGGAGTAAGGGAATTTATGAAACATGCCAAGCAATGTCAAAATTTGTGAATGATTAGCCTACTAGGGTTAAACTAGCTTTGATAAGAGATGTCACCCTTTCTAAACATACATGTATTTTTTCATTATTTTATTTTATCATTTGGTCTTTTAATTTATACAGTTATTTTATGGGCACACCTTGTACATGTATATGTAAAACAATCTTACCTATAAGTATTAGCCCTATATCAACCAGCACTCTCATGAACCTAGGATCACCAATATATCTGCAAATAAGGAGGGAAAAATATAATTTAATATAGAAATGAGCATTTTACTTTGAGTAACCAATTTTATGAAGAATGCAATATTTCATAATGTTTAATATTTGTTAATTTGGATAGCTTTTATAATTAAATGAGAAAACAGTTCTGTTTATTAGATTCTAAGCAAATGATCCTTAGCCTTGTTGATGGTCACCAACGAGCTCACCTCATATTCCAGTTATGCGCAGCACCTGGTGCAAATAAATGCAGCTCACATTACAAGCTTACGATTACTGGCAAATATCATGCATATTTGGGAAGAAAGAACTGCTTAATATTGCAACTGTCGAAAGATTAAACATGTTAACCTTGGTTATTTTATATATGTATCCTTTTCAACTTGATTTTTCTATCAGTATTATTTATTACTACTTATATTGAAAAGATCAGAACTTCTATACACTAAAATTAAAGCAGAATACTAAGTTTTGTTAACTTCTGTATGGTGAAATTAAAGTGGATAGCTAATTTTTTTAAAAAATATCTCAGAAATTGCACTTGTTTTAATTAAGTACATTCCTATAAAAATGTATTATGCAGAAGTAATAATAAATAGATTATATATAAATGAATAATTATGTGATTCATAGTATTCTACTTACTTTGTAACAAACTTAAGCAGTTGAAGCAAGGATTCTCCTTCTCTGCCAGCCATTGCAGCTCTTACGGAACCCCTTCTTATTAATTCCATTAAAACACTAATTGTAATTTCTGGATTCTTTGCCTGTACATTATCCTATATATTTAAAATATGCATTATATTACAAACAGCTTCATAAAAAATGATAGCTACTGTTCTCTCAAAAATAAATTCATGAAGCTTTACTTCAAATATCAAAATTATTAATGTTTTTAAGAGAATTTAGGATAATGAGTTTATATTTATTAAATATTGCAAAACACTAGGGCTACGTGATGGTTAAAAGTGCTGCTTCTTTTACAGTATTATTTTTTTTTTAATCTTCCTTCTTACACATACATATTTATACATACATTATATTTACATTTGGAGTAAGTTTTTCCATAATTCATTTATTAACTTATTACAGGTTCTTAAAATTGTCATAAATTGCACTTAAGTCTAAGATAAACAGACTCTTCCTTATTCATATGTTGAAAGTTGCATTCCAACTTAAATTACATTACATAGCAGAAGGAATTATTATATTTCAAAACATACTTTGATAATGTTTTAAAAATCCTCAAATGGTTCATAAAAATAGCCCAATTATTTGTACTTAAGACGATACCAAATGCACATGAGCTGCTATATTTCATGAAATTTTTAAAGGTTTAGGCTGAGGTAAACTGGGAATAAATGAAATTCAGTGAGCATTTGATTTCAGCATGATTGTATTTTTTTTTTTTTTTTTGATAAAAACTACTTTTGAATTTTATGATTTAAAATGTATAATAAATTAAAGCTTTGTGATGTACGAAATAGTATTGTGTTCGGAGTTATGATGTTGTTTGCATAAATATTATCTATTTTACAAATGTAATTTTTTATTATACTTCCATATTTTCCTGTCATTTTTTGACATACAAAAACTGTCACCAAACAGTGTGATTAGTGCCAATAATGGATAAGCATAATGTCACAAAACTCTTTTAAGTTAAAAAATTTTATGTAATTCTGAGTTAGGTTATCTTTAAATTGCATTTTCTAATTATCTAATTTAACTAACCAAACAACAGCAAAAATTTGTGCTTTTCAGATTTTTACTATCAGGACTAATGCAAGTTCATATTTACTTATGTTTTTTATATGCCATACCCATAACTTGTATCTGCTGATTATCAAGGAAACAATATAATGGTATACAAGTTCTGCTATTTAACCGCTAATTTTTCAGTTAGGATTTCTTGATTTTACGGACATCTTAAATAAGGCAATCAAAAACATCTTAGACTGCCACGGCCTTATTGATTTTGAAGACAACTGACAAAATTTGTTTTAGCAAAAAGTGGAAGGAGTGATAATCATTTTATATAGAATCTATGTCTGATTGCTCTTAAAATTGATAGTGTTTTATTTAAGATCTATTCAAGATCTTTACCAATCTAAGCTATTTTTTATCCAATTTTAAATTTTACATTCATGTGTTTCTTTTCTAATTAGATAGTATTAGGAGTCAATAAATTTTCATGACAACATTTAATTGCATTAATCCTTAGTTGTGCAACAGTTAGTTTTTAGTATATTGAGAAAAAACAGTAATAGTCTAAATAGGCAAATGCACTTAAAAACTTAGTTTCTTAGTCATAGCAAAAGAAATATTTATAGTAAATTAATTAAACTATATATTAATTAATTATTCAACTTTATATGAAACTTTGATACAAATATTTCATAAATGAATAATTAAACAAGTTTAAAAAATCTTAAATTTACATATATTAAAAACTGAACATTTAGAATTGCAAGTACCTTTAAAACAACGTCAAGTGCTTTACTTGATTCAAAGTTTCTTAAATGATTTTCATATCTCTTCAAAAGTCTCTTCTGTTTAACAGGAACAATAATATCTCCCTGAAAAAACAATACATATTTTAACAGAATCTGTTAAAATCAAATTAATAGGGAGCTAAAAAGAAAACTGATGGGGGGGGGAATACAGTCTATGTCATTATAATATTTTTTCAATGGCAGAAATTAGAATCAAATAAAAATCTGCTAGTTTCATAGAAATGAATATAGGTTACAAAATATAAAAACATTTCCTAAAAATTAATTAATTATGGGTACAATTCTATTATTTTATGATGCAAGAGAAATAATTATTTCTGTAAGTCCTTTCTGTGGTCATTGTAATGATAAATTTATTTGAAATGGTTTGAGATTTTCTAATAATGATACTTATGAAAACTTTTTTAAATAAACTTTCTGGTCTAGCTATATTGCAAAAATCAAAATTATGAAATATATCTCACATTTTTTTAAATCTTCTAATACACATTCATGCAATAATCAAAACATCAAATTATTAAGAAAACATTTGAAGAAAAAATATTCATTAAAATTTTTTAATTTATTATTTATATGTTACTATATACATACGACAAGACAAGCATAATTACCCCCTTAAGAATCACTTTAATTTTCATGAAATCCCAATTATAATACTGATTTTTTAAATTAAAGAAAGTGAATAAAAACTAAATTTCTATCTAGAATATGGAATAATTTTAGGACAATAAACTAATACTAAAAGGATATTAAATTTTATGAAAAAGATAGCAGAGATTTTGTGCTAAATCATGGCATTTCCAAATAAAGATTATCATGACAAGTCATCAATTTTTAACATTTTTCAATTAAGAAATTTCTACATATAATATATGAGTAAATGAAATAAGCAAGTAAAAAATTGCTTACTATAAAGTCCAGATGATAGCTCAGTTCAGTTACGGCTATCGTCAAATTCATTACTTGTACCAAAACAACCTCATTTATTTCAATATTGAATAGACCAATATTAAAATCGCAATAACAACCTTGTATTTAGTGTACATATATTAAAACAATCAATTTCGAGGGCAGCTAAAAGTCCCTCTTCATCAGAAGAACGAAATTACTAGAAAGGGGAAAAAGAAGAAAAATAAAGAATTGGCATGTTTGATCAGATAGCCTGGCTCAGTAAAAGTAGGCAGCCAGTGTGAATCTGATTCAAAATCCGGTTACGACCACATATGTGCTGATAACGACCATGTGTTTCTGAGACTTCTTTGCCAATAAGTTCTCCTCATAAGGTGGGACCTTTAGCTGCCCTCAAAATCAATTGAGTGTTTTAATCTGTTAACTGGGTATGACGAAATTTTTTGTCATGCTGGGAAGACTATTTCAATGGGTATGATGAAATGTTTCATCATGCTGGGAAGACTATTTCAATGGGTATGACGAAATGTTTCGTCATGCTGGGAAGAGTATTTCAATGGGCATGACAAAATTTTTCTTACCTTTTTTTTGCAATCTGTCTCTTGACCATTGTTCAAGAAAAATCGATCAATGGAAACACTTGTCCGCTCATAAATTGTGATAACACTCCTAATTTGCACAACTTAATTTCATTTTAGTCTGCATTTCCGTATTTTACATATAAGTAATAAATTGTTGATTAAAGTAATTGTTAGTTTTTTATAAATATGGCTAAAAATTATTGTGAAGCAGAAAATATTTTTGAATTGTCTGAAAGTGACGATGAAATATTGCCCGGGACATTTGGTAAACGACGTCGAATTCTAAGAATAAGTACCAGTTCGGAAGAAAGCAATAATGACTTCTTTACTGATGGTCCGGACATTGAATCAAAGGATGATGATGTTATAGACCAAAATACTCAACCGACATCAGCTGAATGGAAATGTGAAAGAATATTGCGATCGCCTTTCCCGTTTTTATCTCAATCTAGACTTACATTTGAAGGACCTGAAGAAAAGGATTGCCTTTTTATTTTGAGAAATTTATCGATGAGAATTTTGTAGAACTTATTGTGGAACAATCAAACAAATACGCTGGACAGTTTTTTGAAAAAAATACTTCCATGAAACCGCGTTCAAGATGTCTCTCGTGGTTTGACGCAGATGACCGAGAGATGAGAGTATTTTTTTTTAACTAATTTTGCAAGGAATAATAGGAAAACCTTCTTATCAGCTTTATTTCACAAAGCGAGAAAGTCTGGAGACTCCATTTTTTTTTTTTTTTTTATAAAATGATGTCAGAAAAAAGATTCCAACTGTTAGTAAAATTTTTACATTTTAGTGATAACAATGCTTTTGATCTAAAAGTGTGCAACAAAAAACCAACTACAAAATCGATTCCATTTTGAACTATTTGAGAAACAAATTCAAGGTGTTATACGTACCAGATAAGGAAATATCTGTAGATGAGTGAGTCTCTTTTGCTATGGAAAGGAAGACTGTTCTTGGAAACAGTACATTCCATCGAAAAGAAATCAATTTGGTGTTAAATTGTATAAGATATGTGAATGTAAATCCGGATACATAAGTGAATTTCATTATATATACAGGTAAAGACACGCAGCTGTATGGTTCGAAACTATCCAGAAGAACAGGGACCAAATCGTATTGTTCTTGAATTGTGCCACGATTTGTTGGATAAAAGATATACGCTATATCTCGATAATTGGTATACTAGGTACTGATCTAGCTGAGAAGATGTGCAGAAGAAAAACCGATGTTGTAGGAACAATGCGAAAAAATAGAAAGGGAATACCATCTGATAATCAAAAAATTGTGTTTTGAAAAAAGATTAATACATTGCTAGGTACAGAGAAAAAAATAATGATTATGAAGTGGAAAGACAAAAAGGATTTAATTATATTGAGTACTATCCACGACAATAAATTTGTAGAAATAGAAAAACGAAGGAAAACGATATCAAAACCTGAAGTTATCGCTGACTACAACAAAAATATGGAAGGAGTTGATCTTGCTGACGGACAAATGAAAACTTACGAAATCGCTAGAAACCAAGTAAAAAAGTATCACTATAAGATATTTTTACATGCACTAGACATGGTAGGTTTGAATGCATATCTTTTATGCAAGAAAGATGGCGGTCACCTAGATAGGCTTCATTTCCTTATCGAAACTGTAGAAAAAGGTGTTGAAAAATATAGAGACGGATCGCAGTTGCCATCTACTAGTACAGGACGATCATCTTTGACACCAAAACCATCTCGACTCTTTTGAAAGACATTTTGCAGACTATATACCATCCGACTCTTCAAGAGTTAATGTAACGAGGAAACGCACATTGTGCTATTCCAAAGGTCTTAGGGAATAATCGAGATTTTGGTGTCCCGACTGCAGTGTTGCTTTGTGTATGCCGCATTCCTTTAGGGAATATCATACGAAATAATTGTTTAAATTCGTTCTAATTAATTTGTTTTTATCGGATTAAAAATGTTTAATTTTAATATTTAATATCATTAAATATTTTAATGCGATATTCTTTTATTTATTCCTTGCAATGTGCTGAAATTACTGCAAAGGAAAAAGTCCCCATTGTGAAACCATTTTACTGAAAGCTTATTCCCCAGTTAACAGGTTAATATATGTACACTAAATACAAGGTTGTTATTGCGATTTTAATTGTCACGTTGGCATGTTTCTCTTCTATTCTAGACCAATATTATTGTATAATTAAAATCTGAAATGCTCACATCTCTGATTTCATAAAGCACATAAACAGCATATTCTTAAAAAAAAATAGAGAGAGAGAGAGATCACCAAAGCTAATAATCAAATTATTAATACTGCGTCTAATTTTCCTAATAAGATCTAAAATATCTGGACTGGTTGATATATAAATTTCTTGATTGTATTTTTCAATGTGAAACTTTTCTAAAGATTTCAACTTTGCTATATCATGGATGTGATAAACAGGTATTGTAGTCTGTGGCAGAAGTGGTTAATAGACTAGAATACTAATCCATTAAAATGATGGACCCTTCTCTGGTAGGAATAGGTGCAACATTAGATCTAATTTAAAAAACTTTTTAAATAATATCACAGACTTGGATGAAATATAAAATTTTTTAAATTGTAGATGCTTCTACGAATCATTATTATATAGATTGAGCAAGTAATAATTATAGAGTAATTTCACTTTTAAATATATATCTATATATATATCATCAAAACCAAAATAACAATAATTTTTCATGTATATAAAAAGAAAGAATAAAAATTACCTGTTTCTTAAAAAAATTATTAAAGAAATGAATATTATTAAAAATGAATGAAACAAAAGAATAGCTTACATCAGCCGGTTTGAAATCTGTTCCATATAAACGGTACTGATAAAATACACTTTTGTTTTTTGTTTCTTCTTCGGGTGGTTTATCTGTTTTCCGATGCTTAATTGATAGTAAACCATCTGTCATACCAACAGCAACCACTTTATCTTCAGGCTTGAAGACACACATTTATAAATTAATATGAGAAAACTTAAAGCACAGCTACAACACAAATTATATTGTTATATAAAAGTAACTATTACTTGAAAGATACATTATAATTAAAGCACTTAAATTTAAAAATATTTTTTTTTTTTTTACAGACAGTAAATATAAATATGAAAACTATAAATACAGTATTCCTTACAAGAATAAAATCAATGCCTTTTGAAATTATTTTTAATGTTTATAGAAAAGAACAGAAAATATTAGAATGTAGTGCACTAATTTTAAATAAGGATCCCTCACATTGCAATTTAATGTTGTAGCCAATTACAATACACAAAATGAGAATTTCTGTTTTGGTTTGTTTGATTATAGAAAAATTTGCAGGGGCTATATGTCTTCAATTAATTAAAAAGATGAACTCATACTTACATTACACCACTTAATTTTTTAGTAAAATTGTGAAGAAACTGATTTTGTATATATTTAAAGGAAAGAAAAAACGTTTTGCAGCCAAAATTCCCCCCCCCCCGAAGAAGAGTAATATCGATCTGATTGCCTTTGAAACTTGTACTGTTCTATTCAAAACTATGCCAAACTAAGATTATATTTTGCATTATTTTAAATTTTACATTGGTGTGTTTCTCGTAAAATTTGATTTTACTGAATGTAATTCTCAAATTGGCAACAACTAAATAAATAATTAAATAATTTTGCTATTACAAGCAGAATAAAAGAATAATGGAAGACATATAGAGATCAGTCAACTTCAATTTTATTTGAGTTGCATTTTGGGAAAGAGGGAAGAAGACACAAATCAGCTGATCTTACGATTTTATGAAACTTCATTGCTTTTGCTTATTAATAATAAATTTTTGCACTGAACTTTTCTGCTGAGTAATAGGAAATGAAATGCAGATTTAAATAATTCTATTAAAGAGTTAACTATTCATATGCCCCACCAGGGGCTATAAGACTGCTGAATATTGGTAGTTCGACCTGGGTTCTAACCTAGCCAAACAGGCTGGTCGTATGGTTTGCTTTCCCCATGTGTAACAGGAATACAAGCCACCTTCTCTAGTAAAGTTTTCCATGAAAGCATCCCTGCCCTTAGGCAGATAGCCTTTCTGTTTCTGCCATATTCAAATAATCCTAACACATACCCACAATTGAACTGATGAAATGCAAACTAAAATAAAAATATGGAATGATCTATTTTAAACTTCTTACTACTACAATAAAACCTATATAATCCATTATATATAACTCATAAAAGTTAAAATCCTGTGTATGACAAAATGGAGGAAGGAACACTACATTGAAATATACAAAACATGATGAAACAAGTAAGAACATTCATTAAATGCTTGATACACATTCAAATAAAAATAAAAATAAAAATAAATAAATAAAATAATAATAATAATAAAAAAAGATAGCTGCAAAGTAAAATATCCACTTATATATTTTCTATAATAAATATAACTTACAGCTGCTGCAACACTTAAGATAGGTGATGAATAGTTCAATGTGTGCACAACTTCATATGAGGTGACATCATATATTTTTATGTGCCTAAGGAAAGAACAGATTTCACAATTAAAAAAATGTACTATATAAAATGTATGATTACTTTGCTTTTTTTATAAATTAAAAATACCTGTCTAACGATCCAGACATTAAGCGCCGGCCACCACTAGCAAAACATAAAGAAGTAATTGTTTTGTGATGTTGAACAACTTGTGCGAGTAGCCTGCCAGCAATAGGATCCCAGACTTTTAGACTAGTACCTCCTGCATATATAAATATATATTAAACCATTTGAAATAAATATGTAAAACTTTTAGGATTTAAAAAGAATATTAAATATCATATAAATATGAAGAAACACCTAAATTCCTATATAGGGTTCCATTTGAAATAAATATATAAAAATTTTAGGATTCCCACTAATTCCCACATGTGTCTATTAAGTTTTATGCTGTAAGCAAATATGTTATATAAATATAAAAGGATAGTTTTTTTCATAATGTAAACAGCATTCTATTAAAATTTTCTCATCTTGCTCTTAAATTTTAAAATTCCATTTTTGTATTCAATCAATGTTTGTTTATTTTTTATTACATAAATAAAGGATAAATCTTGGACATTTGACTAAAATGCAATCAATCATTTGACAAAATTTTGCGGGGGGGGGGGGTAAAAGGTAATCTCTTGAACTAATGATGATACCCTAGCTGTATAATCAATTTCATTATTAGGCAGGTTAGTAATTTATAATAAGTCTTCCTAATATTTTATACAATCTGAAAGTGAAATCAGACAAACAAAAATTACAGAGATGATTTTGTTCTCTAGCATCATAATTGTTTAAACTTTTCAAATACACTTGACTGACATATATAATACAGTAAAAGACCAAAAAGGAAGGGGGGAAATGAAAATTTTTCACTGAACTCGCAATTTATCAATCTGCTCTTGGACTAGCTCCTGTCAATGCAATTTTTTTCCTGTCTTTTAAACTTTATCATTAAACATAGCTTTCTTTGCACTTAAATCACATAAAATTCAACAATAATGTTAAAAAAATTTCAAAAGCAGCACATTTTTACTACTTTCTCCGAAGTAAAGAAAATATTGTAATTGCAAAAAATTCAGATACCATATTTCAACAGAAATATTCATTTTGACTATTTTTTTGCATGATGTATGTACTTATGGACAGAATAAAGGACTATTTTCTTTAGTGTTTCAGTTCATTATATGAATGTTTAACTTTCTTTACAAGATGACCTACACAACTTTTTTTTTTGTCTTTTTATTTATTAAACATCACTTTCTTCACACTTACATCACATAAAATTCAACAGCAAAATCACAAAATATTTTAAAAAATCATATCTTTAGAATTTCCAATAAAGTGTTGTCATACTTTTTTTTTTTACATTTGCTATATTGTTTCTTTAACAATAATAATAGGTGATAACATTTAATAGCATCATCCTTTCATCTGTTTTGCCATACTTTTTTTATACTCACTATATTATTCCTTTAAAAATAATGCATGGCAATAACATTTGGTGGTAATGTCTTTTTACATGAAAAGTAATATGGATACAAGAGTGAGAATCGAGACTAGCAGAACCTCTGGTGCTAAAAATCCACCAACCTCTGCAGGCTGTTTTTAAATGTCAACAGCAAAATGCAAACTGACTTTAGTGACTTTTGAATCTATTTGCTACAGATTTTCTCATTTAATATTAGAATAAGCTATCATATTCTATAAATTATTGCTTTTATAATTGTATTTGAATAAATATTTTGCACCAAATCACTGAACTTACTTCAGCTATAACTGAAGATGAACCTTATTTTATTTCAACTGAGCAAGACCATAGTTATTGGAATGTTGGCACTTTTCTGCTGACAGAGTACCAATAAAAACATGCACAAGAATAAATAAAAATTTTATGCTATAAAATATAACAAACAGTGTGATTATTTTATGATCTAAGACGTTTCTCGTGTGACATTTTGACAAGGGAGCTCAGGTGGATTTTACGATTTGGTAAACTGACATTTAATTATTCATACTGAAATGGTTTTTCAAATAATTCCGATTACATTTTCAAACAATAAATAATGCATCTTGAATGCATCATCAGGTGTGCCATTACTATTTTCATGCTAACATTAATATATGGTGATGATGACAGCTCTTTTATCAAAAAAATATTAGAACTTCTACATTTCAATATTGCTAGAACTAAAAATGGAAATTATTTCTTGAATCAGAATGACAGGTTTTAAAAAAATTCATGATTTTTTGTAAGCAATACACAAAAAATGTATTTGTATATATCATAATACCTTTAATATATATTTCTCTATAAAAAGTTAAAAAGAAATTTATTGCTTTATATGTTTTTAAAATTTATTTTTCAATTTTGAAGTCTAAATTAACGATTTTTTATTTAAGATCTGAAATCTACATAACAGCTTATGCCAAGTAATAAAAATTTTTGGGTCTTCTATCATAATAACAAAATAATTTCTATTAAAGAAATAAGTACTCTTCTGTTATCCGGACTGGATTAAAAAATGTATATATGTATGTATGCATGTGTGTATGCATGTATGTATGTCATATATTATGTGTGTACACACACATTTGTACATACATACACACATTTCTAAATCCGGCCACCATAACAGAAGAGCACCAATGCATAGTCACAAAATAATGAAAACTTATTTACCTGCTGAGATGAATAGACCCCCAGTAGGAAACATAAGAACAGATTCAACAGGTACTCCATGATCTACTGACATTACACATGATCCACTACGGGCATCATACATTTTTACTGCATGATCATATGAACCTAAGAGAATTTTTAATTAAAATATTTTACATATTTTATCACGATTATTTTAGTACATTGTATGATTTTTTTAAAAAAAATTTTGTATCCATAAAAGTATAATAAATAAATTTTATTCTTAATCTCTACAACAAATGTAAGGATTACAATTTACAGAACACTTTGAAATACTTTTCTACTTGTTCCCAAACAACAGAGATAGAAATAACTATTTCACATAAAGAACTTTTAAATAAAATACCTACTACATAATTTTTAATAGATAGCACATGCAGGGCACACAATCAAAAAATACATAATCATGCATCAAATTAATCTTCTGAATTTTCTAATTCTGTGTTTCTGTATTTTTACATTAAAATTGTACATCAGTCAAAATATTCTAAGCATGTTTTGATCTTTTAATTCTTTTTTCTGTTTAACACTAAACAGCACTTTTCTCTCACTGAATACACAACAGTGCAAGGACTAATTAAACATGCAAATAGAATCAAGCTGCTTATAACATTCTATAATTGATTCAAATGATGCAACCTTATCACCACATAACCAAAATTTGGCAAAAATTATCTACAAAGCTTTTGTTAATCGGTTCACTTGACTCCCTTGAAACCACTCACATTCATAAAACTTTGCCTTCTTTAGCTACTGTCATTAATTCCAAACCAGTTTTTCTCGAAGCTTTCAAAATTCTAACATCTTAACTCCTCCATGTTTCATTTTGTTTTTCTCAACAGTTGTTACTACAGCTAATTTTCTTTATTCTGCCACCTAATATCCTTGCAACTGTGGTTGCAATTCCAACATTTTTGAAAAGAAATTTTGCCCCTACAGAAGAGAGACCCATGTCTAATTACCCTGGAAATTGGTAACAGTTGTATTCAAAATCTATACCAATCTAAGGCTGCTTTTTGCCATATTTGTTTAATGCAATTTATCAGCATATTCTAGATAATGGTAGATTTGTCAAAAATATTTGCACAACTGCAATTTAAATAGTTTAATGTATATCAGTCTTACATAGTATTGTTTGCTCCTTCTGTACTGCATTTAATTCACTGATTAAACCTATAATTTAGGAGAGAACTATATACCAGAGAATAAGTTACACTACATGGATATATTAAATATATTATGACATACACGTTTGACAACTGGAAAAGTTTAATATAATTTAAAACTCCTACTGCTATTAAATGATACCACAAATTAAATTAGCTCTAATCTATTACTGTCTTGTTTATTAAAATTTGCTCCTTGATTATAGCAATTATTTATCAATGTTGACCTGCAGGGAACTCGCACAAGTCCTTTGTTAGATTTATTTCTAACTTGTCAGCCATTGTTCTTTTTGTTTGCTAGCTTATTTATTCCAAGAAAAACTCATGTTTTGTACATATCAATCACACTTATTTTACTTTTTTTGTACTTGAGAATTTGCCTAAATTTCTGATTTCATTGAAATTTGTCTGAACAAGCTTAAATTTTAGAAGATGCTGGAAAATGCTGTCAATTTTCAATTATCATTGGATATCAAATTGTTTAACATCAAGATAATGGGATGAAGTCTCATTGCTTGTTTTTCATTAAAAGATGGAAGATATAAGATTTCCTATAACTATTGAATGTATTTCAGATTTAATATCAATTTCTTTAAATGAAGAACCTTTTAAGGATAATCCTTTGCGGTTGATTTTTTTTTGGGGGGGGGGCATGTATTTACATTGTAATGAAAGAAATTCTTTGGTATCTCCAGAGAGTTAGGAATTATTATGTATTTAATTTTGGTGATTTAAAGTCATAGCATTTTGATGAGAGATGGCATTTTAAATTTATTGAAATTTTATTATTTGTTGAAAAATATGTGTTATGGTTTTAATACCAAAGTATCAAAGAAGACTTATTTCACTTTACTTTCAATGTTATCAAATTATTTATTTGGATTTATACTGAATTCATTTTATTTTATAAAGCTAATGCATTCTTCGAATTTTAGTTTTCATTTCAATCATCAGTTTCATTAACTCAGAATTTCATTTTATTAACGTTTGCAACATTTGAAGGTTTAGCTTAATGCGAAGTTAAATTATTTTTTTTTCCTACTTAAAATATCATCAATATTTTCTATTTAAAATATTAAAATTTTAAAATAATTTTTATTTTTAATATTTCTTGTTTATGCATGATCATGTTGCTTTTGGTGACATGAAAAATAAACACTAATTTGGAATTTGGTATTTTGCTTTTATAAGATAAAGTGCAAACTCTTGTTAATATCATAGCTATCATTGATTATAATAAAACATTTAATTCTATATCTCATTTTGTAGACAGTTTAGTTTAAAAGCAGTTTAAAATATATATGCATTTATAAAAAAAATATACTTATAGATAATTATACTCAAAAATATTAAATAATATAAACATTATTTTAACTGAATTTAATTTCAAAATACCCTTATAAACACACTAAACTTTCTCATGCTAATTCTAAAAGTGACCAGTATTTCTTAGAGATAGCTGTTTATTTATATTCTCATCTTAATGATGAGACACATGTCTTCTACAACTGATTGAAGACAGATGATCAAAATCAACATAGAAATTGACAATGTCGAACCAAAATCAACAGTATGGAACTACTGTTTGCGGTCATTTTAAATAGATTCACTGTAAGAGCAATCTAATCTTGCAGATCAATTAAAAAAGATTTTAAACTAATTACACACCTGAAATAAATACATCTTGAGAGGCTTGACTAACTGCTCCAGCTCTTATATAATCCTAAGCAGAAGTAAATTCACATATGAATGAAAAATGCACAAAAATGGGAAGTTTTTTTTTTTCCCTTTAAATATTATGAGAGACATTAGTTCAAGTAAACACATTAAAAAACATTCTAAAAAATGTTGATTTTATAAGATTATATAAATTTCTGATTTAAAAACATGGCACTATTTGGTTTTGAGAGCTGTAAAAAAAAATCGCCAAATTTTTGTTGATGCCAGTGCTGCCAAAAATAATTGTGGCAACCCTAATGCAAGAAAGGAAGTATAATAGTAAATAACTACCTAGGATTGATGTTTTAATTTAGATGAAAAGCTTATTTCATATAGTACTTTTTTTATTATTATAATTTATATAAAAAAGGCTAAACATGATTGAATGGAAGCATAAGAGTAAATAACTATTTCAGATCATTATTATAATTTATATAAAAATTGCTGAATAAAACTGAATGGATGCCTACATCGCTATTTCGCTACCAAATTATCGCTAGAGCACAATTTCATCTTCGTTGGTTGTTTAAACATAATTTTCTATACGGAATGATGGTTCTTCTTTGAAAAAATTCTCGGTAAAGTGCAGAATCGCCCACTTCTTTCTTTGCTGCTTTTACAAGGGGAAAAACAATTGGATTTTTATCAATTTTCTTTTACTTTTTAAGTGTACATAGATAAAGTCAAGGGTTTGCGCAGTGCCATTTTTGTGCAATTATGGGATTTTTTTAAGTGAAAATAGGTCGTTGTGTACACAGATAAAGTCAAGGGTGTGCACAGTGCCATTTTTGGGCAATTCTGGGAATTTTTTTTAAGTGAATATAGGTTGATGTGTACATGGATACCGAGTATGTGCAATTCTTAAAAACACGTCAAGCAGTGGGTGATTCTGCACTTTACCCAAAATTCTATCGCAGATATTTCGTCATGGGCAATTCCCAAATTTTTAAATCCATAGGATATTAAAAAAGGATTAAAAAATTAAATCCATAGGATATGAAAAAAGAATTTAAAAATTAAACTAGTATTTCAATGGCATCTTAAGAAATATACATAAACTTACGCAATCTGAAATCAGCACGTTTGCTAGATTTGGCGCTTTTGCGCATACATTTTTGCTGCAATTTTTTTTACGGTCCTCAAAACGGAATAGTACCAAAAACATACATACATACACATATTCACTAATTTATCTTGAAAAAGGTAACAGAAAATTTATATTTACCATGTACTTATTGTAAAATATAATACAGAAAGTTACTTAAATTTTAAAATGTTTTACTTGAAATGAAACTGTATAAGAAATTGTCACGAATTACCAAATAAGAATTTCAGCTATTTAAATAAATTAAATACCACTACTCTTAACAGCAAATAATAAAAAAAAAATTAATTCACATCAATTAGAAATATCTATATTGCCAAAAACAAAACAAAAAAAAAAAAAAAATAGAATAAAGCACTTACTTCCGAATAAAACAAAGAAAATTTTAGAAAAGGCTAATAGCCCTTTAAAATAGCAAACGTACATATCTATCTTATTTTGAGAGTTACTTCCATCATTCAGTTTCACAAAATTAAAAAGAAAAAATGTAATACTACATCATGCTACATTTTTGTACTGAATTTTGTTTCACTTTCATCTTGAATCCAGAAAATATTCATTACGTTAACTTTGTTTTTGATTTCAGTTAAAATTCAGTCTTCAAATACTACTTTCTCTACAGCAGTCAAAGAAGCATGATATTTTTATACATATCTCATAAGCAATTGAAAATTCACTTCATTACAAAAAATTATTTACAATTTAAAGGATGAACATGGGAAGAGGATAATTAAAACATTTTACAATAAGCTCTTTCCATTAGCATTATGTTTTTAAGCTAAACAAATGTTATAAACATAACTTTACATCGACAAGGAATTTCAGATCTTCACATGTCAGTAGAAATTTAAGAATTATGATCATTCAGATCATTTGTTTTATTTGAAAATACCCAAAAGACATATTTGAGATGCTTTCTAATAATGAACATTAGAAACTAATTAATTTTTAAAAGCCTCTTTTAAATATTTTTTGCATAAGGTGTTTTCTCCCTCCTTTCCGCATGCCTTTGTAGTGTAACTGGAAGCACCAGGATTTGGTGAATGGATATCCTAATCCCCAGTTGCCCTTTAAAATGGGGAGTATGTAAGGTATTTTCTCCCTTCTTTCCGCATGCCTTCATGGTGTAATTGGAGACATATTTGACGTGTATTCGAGAGGTCCAGGGTTTCAGTTCTGGCGAGGACACTGCATATTTTTTATATTTCCTGCTTCAACAAATCCTAATGACTCTACATAACATCATAATTTCTCTCTTTTTATTTACAGATTAAAAGTCCATATTTGATATATTCATTGTCCAAGTACAGCTGCTAATTATATTTATTGCATTTATTTTAAATTGAAGGGATAAAAGTATGAAAATATGCAGTTATGAAAGCAAATGAACATGAAAATCAGCAAAATTCAATTTTAGATTAGCATTTCTTTCAAATAAAAGGACTGTAAACTTCAAAATACAATAAAATAATTAATAAAATCTGATACTGGTTTTGATGTGAAACTGGAACTTAAATCTGCTGATAAAATATTCAGAAAATTTCTTCTCTATTCATTTGAAAGAAAGACACATGAAATTCCGGTGAAAACAAATTTGAAAGAAAAACTGATTTTTGAAAATTATGCTGTGATCCATTATAACCTAAGATGTGAATATAGGATGTTCCCAAATAGTATCTTTTCTTGCAACAGGAAGAAAATGAGTCATCTCAAATGACGAATTCAGTTTAATATGTTTTCCCGAAAGAGAAGAAAACGTAGAAAATTACTTATAATTTTCAATGACATGGATATTATTTACATTTTAAAGAAATCCAGAGTGTATAAGAAGCAAATAATCGCTCTGATTAATTTTGTAGGAAAAGTATGTTTACAGTAAATACAATAAAGACGCTGATTATTTTTACCTTGAAATAATCCTTCCTTTTCTAAATATATTGATTTTATTGCCAATGTTTATCTGATAATTAAAAAATAATTTGTTATTGAGACTTAGATATGAAATTTCCTTAAAAATTCCTAATTTTCATCTATCTGGTAACTCTAATCATTTTCATTATAACAATTCTTTAAAGCATCTCTCCCCCTTGCACGATGCATGGATTGTTACAATCAGCCCCAATTATGATACTTATAATATTTTAATTAGTAAAAACAGGCATATGATGAGACAGAATAAAGTTAAAAAAAGTCATGAAAAGTAATTTTTTGAAAAAATATGAAATAAATGACTCAAATAATTTTATACCTGATGTTCTTCAAAGCTCTTTAATTTGGTTTCTGTTGGTATATCCCACAAAGCCACTGATTTATCATCAGAAAAACTTACAATATGGGTTCCATCTGCAGTAAAATTGCAACGGTGAACAGCCCTATAAGGGAAAATATTCTTAATGTTATCTATTTACTGACATAGTACAACATATAACATATTTTAAATCATTTATAGATTATTTACTGATTAGTACAGCCAAAAGTCGTTAATTCGGACACCCATAATCCGGACCTCAAAGCTACAAACTTTCTGCATGCGCATAAACGTTACGCGTGCGCGTAAGACCTTTACGGCTGCAAATATGAGTGTGTGCAAGCGCATACTACGTTTACACATGCGCGTTTAATGTATAACAGACGGTATAAGCTAAGCTAAAATTATCTAATTCAGTTAATGTTGTAGATTGCGTTGTTCCTTAATCTTCGAATTGGATCCGGCTTATTATTTTTTTGCAGACTGTTAGAGCAATTTTATAAAAGTAAGCTTGAACTTTCGATTATGTCAAATAGAATTTCCGATATATATTTACTAATATGTAAAGGATCTACAAAGCGAAAGTATGTTTTGAAATCCGAAATCTGTTTATCAATTTCACGCTGCTCTGCGGCGGGGTGGAGGGGACGCGCAATGAATTGGAAGTTGATCTGTCAGCACTATCCTTATCTTCAGGGCAGATATTTTTATTTTATTTGGCTTATAATTCCTTACTAAATGTAGTATTTCATCTCGATGTACTCCGTCTTTGATATGATTTAAATCAAGTTCCTCCTCATTATAATTCGCTTCCGATAGTGAAGAAAGTGACAGAGAGGTTATTGAAAACGAAAACATTTCGATTGACAAATTAGTCGGTATTCTCGACACAGCAATTATAGGACTTGAACAGCGGAACTTTGTAAGAACAAGAAATTATGTCTGTTTAATAGAATTAAAGAGAAAGTATTATCACATGAAATGAAGCAACTTAAACAACTTACATTGAAAGAAATGTTTAATAAAGTGAACAAATAAATATTAAGCTTTTTCTTTTTGTAAATTTTGATACCCTTTAGATCATAATTGTTCTTTACTCATAAATTACGGTTTCATATTTTTAATTTTGTAATTTCTGCATGCCATCTTACCAGATTTAAATTGATGATCTATAATCCGGAAAAATCGATAATCCGGAATCGCCGAAGTCCCGACGAGTCCGGATTAACGACTTTTGACTGTACTATGAAACCCAAAAAATAAACTGTGAACATTAGGGTGTTACTTCTTAATTTCATCAAATGCATCTACCAATCAACTGTAAATGATCTGTTACTGGGAACTTCAGCTCATATGAAGGCAATTTTTTGGCTATCTATATAATGGTTGATGCAAAGACAACTTTGCCCACAACAAGACTAACCATTCTTTTGTAATATTTGATGGATTCAGCTACCTGCTACCTATAAATATTAAAATAGTTGGGCAGTTTTTGAGTTAATACTTCCACAGCAAGTTGAGTGATGTATAACTTAATAGCATGGGAATTAGAATTGGAAAATTTAGTGGAATTTTTATAACTGCATACCAACATTTAACATTTCAAAAAAAAAAAAAAAAAAAAAAAAAGGTAGCAGATAGCTTCTGTTTTGTTACTTTGAAAGTTTTAGCAAATGAAGAGTACACTAAAAAGCAGAATATGCTGAAACTAATAGAATAAGATTCAGCATATGACTGAAAGACAACAGAAGTTAATACATGACTGTAATAGGCAAACAGATACTGTCAGGCAAGTTACTACCCCTTTAATGCTAAATGAAATTCTTGTCAATGTTTAATACATAAGTACCAAAAAGTAACTAAAGTCCTGTGGTTTAGATCATGAGAATATATAATTATATAATTTGTTTATTTAAATGATGTTTGTTATTTTATTTATGATATAAAATGACTATCTGCCTTAAGAAAGGGATTTGTGAAGGACTCTTTACAGTACACTAGTTCATATTTAATCTATATAAATGGATAAATCAAGAACTCATTCATCCAGCCAGGCTGTTTACTGAGATTTGAATTTGGGTCAAACTGTCAGCATTTAGTAGTCTTCACTAATTAATTAACAGTTTCACTTCATTAATCCATTTGCAGACAAAGATATAAAGTGTGTTTAAAAAGACTGCCTGATTTAAGTGTTTCTTGAATGGTTTATTATGAATCCATGATTTCAGTTCGTGAAATGAGTGACAACAATGTAGACCTTAAGATTATGAGTTATAGTCACAATTTTTTTAAATAAAATTATATGAAACTTAAAACTCCCCTCCCCATGAGTACATTTAAAAGTCACAGGAAAATGTTTAAATTTTTCTTTGCTTAATTAAGGAAATCCCTGTTTGTACAATCAAAATTAACTTGGATATCATTAATTAAAAATTTTAAAGCCAGTAAAGAGGTAATGGTTGTAACCAGCTGTGCAGGCTTTAGATCCAAATCAAATTCCTTACACATATTATTTATACAGATATTAACTTATACATTAGCTTAAAATTATTGCTCATAAAAAAATCCTCCATTTGAAATTTTGTAAGTAATGAATTTTAACCTTTTCACAACTAATGGTCCACCAAAAGTTTCAAAAATCACTGCTGGGTCAAAGATTGCTAAGAATCTCTTGAATGTTCAATAGATCATCTTTAAATAGTTGGAAAATTAAGATGAGGCTGTGCTCGTTATCACAAATAAACAAACAGAAAAGAACAAATACAAGTTGCCTAATGTGTAGTGTTGGGTTATGTAAAAAATGCTTTACCCTGTATCACACATTGTAAATCTATTTCATATAACAAAGTTTTCCAGAATAAAATAGGTGTACTTATAGTAAGTCGATCGCTATGTGTGGGACATATGTATCCCAGCTTTCGGCTTGAAAACAATTTTATAAAAAAGTCCCAAATGCTAAATTTACCTTATTTAAGACATTTTATTCACTTGGATAGAAAATAGGGTAAAATTTTGTTTTAATTTTGTAGTCAAAGGATTACCTTCACATAGCCTTTAAATTATCTTTTTCTTCAGGTGAAAATTTTTTGTTATACAAATCTGACAATTGTTTTCAGGGTCAATTTTACATACAGTGAACACCTTAAAAATTTCTTTTAGTGGAATGACAAATAATTTTTTTGAAAAATAGCCCTAACACCTTAACAGTTCTTGTATTACTTTTAATTATTATTCAACATATATGTTTTCAATAGTCCTACCTCCATGCATATCAAAACCATTAAAAGTGACACATCTAGTGCTAACCAAATATAAATATATCAAGTATTTCATAACCTATAATAATATATACCACAAAATATCAATAAAATAGTTTATCATTTGTTAAGTATACTGTAGAGCATTGGTATTCAATCTATGGGTCATGAAAAATTACATTAGGTGTCACAAACTTGATGAAAAAATTGTAAATAAATTTACCTGAATATTACAGAATACATTACAGACAATTTTTTTCAGAAAATTTTTTAAAAAAGCTTTATTAAATTATAAAAAAAAATATTTATTGTGAAATATTATTAAATTGTCAAGACATAACTATCTTAAGAACAATTACCTCAAGTGATAGATTACCTTTTTGAAACTGTTGTCCTTAAATTTAGTTTGGTCTGGATATTCCTCAGCTGACATTGTGCACTGTCTGTCTGTCACAAGAACAGTTCTCTACAGATAGTCTGTTGCTACAAAAATGAGCTTAACCCAATTTTTGTTAGGGGCTACTTGAAGAATTGCTTTTCAGTTTGCTGTCTTGGCTCACTTAATGATAACATGACTTTCTCTTTCCTGTGGTCAACATTTGATAAAAACAAAATTACAACAAAACAATCACTTTTCTAAAACCTACTTAAAATATACTTGTCTTGTTGCTATGACAACTGCTACTGACTAGTACTAGACATAATGGCAAGAACAATTCTTCTGATACACACAGTAACACTGCATTTGTTTTCAAAGAACATGCATGTTACATGCGATGAGATTGCAGATTCTGCTTACTGTGTGGTATATCTGTGAGTTTAATTATTATTTTGATGTAAAATTATAAATTTTATTTCCTAATAAATAGGCAGCTAAAAATTGATAGGATAATTGAAAAAAACAGACAGTGGGAAAAAAAAAAATGATGAGAAGAGCACTTTGATTTCAAGTTTTTTAATTTTTAACTCCAATTAAATCAGTTTGGAGTCTCGCCTCTATAGAGTCAAGACATAAAGAAGTAACAGCACAGAAACAAGCTTGTAAGTTTGACAGTGAGTTTATAAAGTATAGTTTCATATATACTGAAAATGACAAACCAAGGGTTTGATGCATTCTATGCTCGACAATATTGTCAAACCTGTCACTGAAACCAAATAAACTGCAGTGGCTTTTACACACCAAATATCCAGAATCCAAAGATAAAAACTATTGATTTTTTCAGGGAAAAAATAGGGCATCTAAAATGTAAGTAAAATTTTATGTCTTCTTCATCAGTATTAAAAAAAAAAGCATTAGAGTCTTCTTACCTAGTGAATCAAGTATTGCTAAAACTGGCAAGCTGTGCACAATTGCTGAAGAATTAATTATTCCAGCAGCCCTGGATATAGCATGCATTATGTTTGGCAAAAAGGAAAATTAACAGATATACTAAATACCCTACTTTGATGCAATAATTGGTCACAGAATATATGAAATGGCAGATAATACAGAAAGCCAAATCAGAATTTAAAAAAGTAAATTTTTCTAAGTTATCATTAAGTCAAAAGTCATGCCATCATAAAGTCATGTTATCATTAAGTGAGTTGAATGAAGCCACCAATCGCCAAAACACTGCACAATTAAATTGTTTTGCAAAATATGAATACAAAAATGAAGTTATGGAAAACTGCAAAGGACTACAGGAAAAGAAATTGTGGAGTTTTACCTTCCCCCCCCCCACATTTCTTCAACACTGATATCATGTCCTGATTTCTCATTCTAGTAAATGAGTGATAAGACTCTCATCTCTATGGGGCTGCAAAAAAGAACACTTTGGGTCTGTTTTGAAAGTTTGCTCTGGTCATTGCTGTGATTAATGTTATTCTA